ACGCGTTAAAAAAAAATTTTTTTTTTGAAGAAAAAGCAAGTTTGTAAATATTAAGGTTATGAAATTCATTTTTAATAAGAAAAAATATTTTTTTTAACGCGTAAAAATGTGCGCTTTTTACACGTAAAAACGTCGTTTTTTCAACGCTTGTCTGACTGGGTAGTGATCATTTACATAATGTTAAATTGACTTATAATGGTTATAAGGATATTATTTCAATAGTTATTATTAAAACAACCTCGTCATATTGGATTAATTTATGTTGATAAAAGTGTTGTTATCAATATTTAACATGAAAATATATTTGTATATTTTTGACTCAAGAATAATCATTTTATTTATCATAGGTTTATTTAACATTACCAAAATGGAATGGACAAATATCATTTGATGGTAAATATAGTTTAATATACTTCGATTCGTGGTGGTCTTGAAATAGTTAAATTTCGAGCTGAAAAAGTTGTTCGAACATTAATTGATAAAGTTGCTGAATGTGTACCTGATGTGATAAAATTTTTTACATCAACCAATAATCATATTATTTATTTTATAATAAAGATAAACGAATAATAATACATGTTTTTCGTACAGCTGATGGTCAACAAATAGCAGATACGAGATGTCCAGCAAAAGTTCAACAAACAATCACAACACAAGATGGACAAATATTAGTTGTTGGATATGAAGATGAAGTTATTCAAATGTTTTTTATAATTGATTGATTTGATTCAACAATAAAGCATATTTAAAAAACTGGGGAAAACAACAATTAGAATTCAATGTTGAACCTGTAAACAAGAGATTATTGATAAACAGCATGAACTTTGAATTGGTTTTTCTAAATTTTATAGTGTCATTCACACTTTTGTTGCATATTTCTTTCTTTTCTTCTATCATGTCGTATAGATGACACATACGACATACATATATGCATTCTTTACTTTTCTTTTTTTTTTGTTACCTTTTCTTTCAGATATTTTCCAAACATTCACTTATTCAGACAGTTTTTCTTCGTGTTCTCGTTTTTTCCTATTATTTTTGTTTTTTCCTATTGCGTCCGCATATATATATATGGGTGTGGGTGTGGGTTGTGGGTTGTGGGTGTAAAGAAGTAAACACTCACAACCACACCCAAATTCACACCTGCGCACCCATACCCACACCCACATCCACATCCACACCACACACACCCACACCCTCACGCTTATTTTTTTAAGTCTTTGAACGCAATTCAATACGTGATCAGGACTTCTAAAATTAAAAAAAAAACAACTCTTACATATGTACGCCATCTTTCTTTCTTTCTTTCTTTTTCTCAATTGATTTTCAATATTAAAGCAAACAGAATGGGACGAAGAACTCACCAGTTCGCCATGATTCATCTTCTATACTTCATCTACTTGCAAAATTAACAAAACAATACAGTTCGAACATTCACATTCACATACAGTACGTAAAATAAATATTTGAATGCCATATGACACACATCTTGTAAAACAAACTTAACAACGAAGAAGGAACATTTTCTCAACTTTTTAGAATACCATTCGATGGATTGTATTCTTTTTTATATTCTACAAAAAAAATTACTTTTCAAGTAGTTACTTGATTGGTTGGGTTAGCCGAGGTTCGCCAATAGGACTTTCACCATTGGCGAACGTCCAGTGAACTTTCCCCAATATAGCCCCCGTGCTTTCGCCAATTGACGAATATCCAATGAACCTTCTCAAATTTAAGTACAGCGGTAGTATTGATTAGAGAACTTGATATCAACTATGTTCTTAACTGTACAACTTGAGGTACATTTTTATAATGCTAGGCATGGTTCGTGTACATCACTTACAATATGAGTGTTCCACTTCCATTAATGAAAATCTATTCGACTTTTGCCAATTCATCCCCCTGGATATTCACCAATTGGCGAAAGTGCAGTAGACTTTCGCCAATATACACCTTGGAAATTCGCCAATTGGCCAAAGCCCACTGAACTTTCGCCAATAATTGGCGAAAGTCTTATTGACGAAGTTCCGGAATCCCGATTTGTTATGCAAAAAAATTATTTGAACGCCTGTAGTTTTTCTCTTCATTTCACCTTGATTGTGCAACAAGCTTTTTCGAGTCATAAATCATTTGATAAGAAAAAACAGTTCTCTACACGTTGATGTATTTTAAAAACGAAAATAATTTTGATAGTGCCTCGAAAATTAGGAAACCTTTGAAGTCCTATATATTTCATAGAGAATCCCAGTTTTTTCAGATTTGATAAAACAAAAACTCAACTCAAAGTATATAAATTATTTCGTAGTTTTCGAGGTTCTATGAAAAAAAAATTTCGTAGAATAAAGTTCAGATGACGGTCTATCGAATGGTATTAAAAAAATTGAGAATTGAATAATTATTTTACATTCTGTATAGATTTCCCCATGTCGTCAGTGTGAAACAAGTTTATTTGGAAAGTTAAAATAAAACTATCATTCTAGAAAATATGGAGGAAGGTGCCTTTATAGGTAAGTGAATACAAATATGTTCAAGTTAAATAATAAACTATGGCACACACACCTTGCTACTGATAAATATGTGATGTGTTTTATGGGTTTCCTGGATATCCAATTAAACCGCAGTATAGAAGATATAGAAGATATGGAGATCTGAGGAGATAACAAAAATACATTCTATTCCGCGATGTTGAACATTGAAGGGATCAGTTCCGTTGCCCGAATCAATTCCACGAATTCCGAAATTCCGGTATTTCAGTGCAGTCGCAATTCCTAGGGATTTCTTTCAAACTCGGAATTCCCAGGAATTCCGTCCAATTCCGCTTCGACCTAATTCTCGGAATTACATTCTGCCCTCAAACTCATCCTGGAATGCATAGTTATAGAATAATCATTGAAATAAGTTAGCGATTCCGGGACGGAATTTCGGGAATAAGCGGCCACGATCGCAATTTCGACCTTGCTTAAGGGTCTCATCAGGTGGCTTATTCTAATTCCGTCATAAACTAGAAAGTTTACAACAGAAAACCGTTGTTTAACTCCCATATGGAAGAGAACCGGCATAAAGAAGAAGCATGACTGCAACTATAAGAATAAGCAGCCACGATCACGATTTCGACCTTGCTTAAGTGTCTCATCAATATGGGAGTTGGACAACGGTTTTTTGTTTTAAACTTATTAGTTTATGATGGAGTTAGAATAAGCCACCTGATGAGACCCTTAACCCATTGGGCCCGATGGGGTCCACCGGTGGACCCCACTATATTTTAACAAGGAACTTAATAGAAAAACGCTTTCTTTTCTTTTATTCTTAGGCGGAAGGTTACACATAATGTGCGATCTGCTTTGCCTTCGCTATTTTCAAAAT